ATCTGTCCATGTTAAATATCAATGGATCTGTCCATATTAAATATCAAAGGATCTGTCCATATTAAATGACAAAGGATCTGTCCATATTAAATGTCAAAGGATCTGTACATTTTCTGACTCGATTTCCAGTGATTCCAACAGGTTTTGGTGGACTGAGGGAATGAAATGACCTTGCAACCTGCCTTCTATTTTCATGGAATCATAAAATCACAGGCTGGTTTGGGTTGGAAGGGACCTTAAAGATCATCTCATTCCAAGCCCCTGTCACGGGCAGGGACTTTATCTTAGAACAGTTCTTGTGCCTTTGGATTAGATAAAAATTGGCATTGTATTCATTTATTCTCTTGGCTTTTCTAGTAAGGAGGGTCAAGCAAGGAAAATTGTTTTCAGATTCCCTTTAGGAAGTCAGTTGTGCCAGTGGTTCTGTGGCACCAGAAACTGAAAAACAAAGTATGAATTCAGCACTCAAAGCAACACTGAATATAAAAACTGAGTGGGAAAATGAATGGAAACAACAGTTTTTACAGCCAGAATTTTTTAGTTTAAAAAGCTGAAACCTGAAATGTTCAAATGCAGGTTTTTAGCTCATGTGTTAGAAGGGGGAGCTCTATTTTCTCCAGTGTTGGTGCACTTGTCACTGTGTGACATCCCATCCCAACCTGGTGACACCACCAGGGGATGAGTTGCTCCAGGAAGGCTGTGCCCACGATTTGGAAGAGATTTGATTGATGTGTGTGTTTGATTTGGGGATGATTTGTAGCATAAATGCTCCTTCTGCTGCTCTGGGCCAGGCTGCCAAGTGGAGGTGATGGGTCTGTTCAGCTCAACTTGGCAACCAATTGAAGGAACATTCATAGAATCACAGGATATGCTGAGTTGGAATCATCCAGGATCCAACAGGATCATCCAGTCCAACCCTTAGGCCTGCACAGACACCCCAACACTCCCCCCTGTCCCTCAGAGCGTTGTCCAAACCCTCCTGGAGCTCTGGCAGCCTTGGGGCTGTGCCCACTGCCCTGGGGAGCCTGGTCAGTGCCAACCACCCTCTGGGGGAAGAACCTTTTCCTGATATCCAACCACCCTCTGGGGGAAGAACCTTTCCCTGAGATCCAACCACCCTCTGGGGGAAGAACCTTTTCCTGATATCCAACCACCCTCTGGGGGAAGAACCTTTCCCTGATATCCACCCACCCTCTGGGGGAAGAACCTTTTCCCGATATCCACCCAAACCTCCCTGACACAGTTCCACCCATTCCCTTGGGTCTGTCACGGATCACAAGAGTAAAGAGATCACTACCTGCCCCTCTGCCTCCCCTCCCCAAGCCCCTGCTGAGCTCCCCTGTGTCCAGTGACGATCTTTTTTTCCCTCCCAGGAATGTGTTTCCTGCTGTGAGGGCATGATCTGCAACGTGGAGATCCCGACCAATGCCACCAACGCCGTGTTCGCCGTCCTGCCCGCCCGGAGGACGTCGGGTGGCAGCAGGAGGACAGTCAGCGTGGCAGTGCTGGTGTCAGCCCTGATGGTCACCCTGTCCTGACCCTGCACCCTCACCACACACCTCCTTGGGCCATCAGGACTGTCAGGATCTTCCAGGAGAAATCTCTGGCACTTCTTAATTCCAGAAAACGCGAATGCACATCGTGAAGTCCTTGGATATTTTCATGAAGATGCTTCACGTGGCCCCCGGTATTTACAGATATTTACAAATAAACCCCAGGACAACCCACTTGGACTGAGCAGGGGGGGTGAACTCAAGTCCTAATTGACTGGTTTATGATGAAAATGCACATTTGCTTGGTGTGTTTTCTGGACAGAGAGAACTGTGACAATCCCTTTCCCAGCTTTCGATGGATGATGTGCCAAAGTGGAAACTGCTTTTTAACTGCTTAAAAAGGACCCAGAGTTTCTTGTCTTGGTCAACAGGTGTATTTAAGCTTATCTTTAGCCATGGTTTTCATAGAGAACATATATGAGAGGACTTCTGCTTTGATCAGAGCTGTAATTCCTCCTGCCAATAATACAAAACGATCCTTTATTATCTTGCTTTTCTTTCAAATGTGTCACCCTCCAGTTTTGAAATGGTGTGAAATGATGGAGGATTTCCAAAAATGACCAGAATTCCTGATCCCCTGCCCCCAAGGGATGACTTTCTTGCCATTGAGTCTCCCCTCAGCTGGATTTTCACCTTTGGGATATTGGAATCCCACGACTTTAAAACTGCAGCTACAACCGAGCAGCTTTGTTGTCATAAAAACTGTAAGTGGACACTTGGTATAAATAAAGAGAGAAATCTCTGTTCTCTCTTGATTTGCAAGAAGTTCCTCCCAGAAATATTATTGTCCTTGATGGATTTTCTAGGTCAGCACTGTTGGATACCCCAGGCCTCTGGACATCATCCTGTTTGAAAAATTTGGGCCAATATTCTGCTTTTCCTGACAATATTCTGGGGTTTAATGTGGTTTATTTGCATAGTTTGACTGTCTGACTCCTCATTTAGGTGGTTGCTCATCTCATTCATCAATTAGATGAACAGCTGCAAATCTGACAAACAGCAGAGTTTAGATGATGTACATTATCATACATTAATTTATTTGAGAAAACTGATTTTCAGGCACTCCACGGTGTCTGTATTTCAGCTTGGGTTCACAGGTGTTATAACTCAAATATGTTCAATTTAATGCCTAAATTAGCCACACCTTTTGGAAATTATGTTCCTGTCAATGCACACTCATGTCTTTAAATGCCCTTTGAACCTGAAAATAATTCATGAACAATGGCAAATCCCTCAATTTGTGCAGCTGAGGAAAGAGAAGTGTATTTTTTATGATATATAAGTGTAAGATTATTTTTTTTATTATTTACATTGCACTGAACAGCCTATAGAAGGTTTATTTTTAAAAGCTTAAATACTGATAAATTCTTCACTATTCAGTGTTGTTTGTGTGATGTTTCCTGTCTGCTGTGTTACTGGTTTATATCTTCTCCAGAAATGGCACTTTTAATTAAAAATATTCAAATATTTGCTGGTGGAAAACATTTGTGGTGACAAAAATTGCTTGGTAGACTCCTGGCAAAACCTGAGTTTGAATTAAAATCTCTCCTGGCCTCAGTATAGTTTAGAATTTTATCTGCTTTGGCTTTTCCCAGTTTTTGGGAGTATTTACAGATGCCAATCCTCCCTTTTTGGAGGGTGATTTGTCCTGGTAGAGGCACTCTGTGCCCAGAGACATTAAAAAGGACAAGAAAACTTGATTAATTTGCATTTCTCAAACTTTGATTGCTGGAATTGTTGCTAAAGTGTAGTTTTGTGGTGTTGAAGTGGAAATAAAATTTACTGTTATATTTCATAGAATATCCTGAGTTGGATCCACAAGGATCATCAAAGCAAAAGAAGATGAAGGTTTAAAAAGCACAAATTAAAAATATAAGTATTTCAGAGCACAAAACCATTTCTGTAGAGCGGGAAGACAGAAAGGAATAAATATGTTTAACATTCATAATTATTTTAGAGTATTTCTATTTTGTGGTGATTTGTTAAGGTCATTTTTGGCATCATCAGTTTTCTGTGTTGAGTTGCTTTGGAAGGAAGGAAAACTCAAGGTTTGAAGAGATTTGTGCAAGAAGAAAGGGACTTTTTTTAGCTCTATAGGAGGTTTGGGGGATATTTATTGGATTTTTTTTATTATTTTTTTGATCTTTTTGGATCCACTATCCCAGGTTATCAGCTCTTATTGGCAGTAAATCACATTTTTTACAAATATCTGGTGGAGAACATTATATTAATGAGTTTTCCCTGCAGCACCCCCCAAAGTGGGACATCATTCCTCAGGTCTGGAAAGCAGCCCATGAGGGTTGTCAATGAGAAAGAATTCCTGGAATTGAGGTTTTTGTCTTTGTTCTTGGGTCAGAACAGAACATCACGGGGTTTATTTGGGTTTTTTGCCAGTTGGTTTCTTGGTCTTTGGGGCTGGTTTGTTTTTGGGGGAGGTTTCTGGAAAGAGGTTTTGAAGGGTTTTGTGGCTTTTTTTTTGTGGGTCTTTTTTTTTTGTTTGTTTTTTGTTTGTTTTTTGAAAAGATTATTTTACATTGATGGGGAAAGTGGGACAGGAATTGAAAGAGCCGAGAGAAATTGTTGCAGGTTCTGCTCCTGTGAATGGTTCACTTCCATCTTGTTAAATAATGTTGGGATTTATTTGGGACAAGAAGAAGTGGGAAGAACAAACCTGCATTTTTTCAAAAAGAAATTACATATGAAAAATATTCTAATATATTTCTAGATAAATATTGAGGTAGGAAATGAAAGTGTGACACTGTTACTTTTTAAACCCAAATTGTCCTTTGCCCTTTGCCTCCTTACAGGATTTTTTAAGTTGTTTAGATCCACAAGTAACACTTGTTCAAAGGAAAGCTTTCAATTTGCTTTTAGAGGACTATAATTTGATTATAATTTCATGGCTGAACTCATTTGTGCATTTGCAGGCAGGTTTCAAAGGGCTACTTGAACTTAATTTGGGGTTTCCTTTGGTGTTTTCCATAGTTGTCATCTCTGTGGAAGTAAAGTTTTGGAGAATGTCAGGGAATCCCAGAATGGTTTGGGTTGGAAGGGACCTTAAAGCTCATATTTATGTGTGTTTTATACACATATATGTGTATAATATACATATATATGTGTGTATCTATTATGTTGTAATGACTAGATTTTACCTAAATGGAATTATCCAATGCTTATGAATTTAAGGGGATTTTAATATTACTTTAAGTCCATATATGAAGAGTTAGTAAAATTGGAAGTAATGAGATGAAAAGTAATGAAAACAGATTAAAAGAAGCTGGTGAGTACTTGATTATAGTTTTCATTAATCAGTGACAGATCTGTCCCTCTCTGTGTGACTTCCTTCTGTCCAGAAAATTCAGAAATTCAGAAAATGCTTTGACTAATCCAAGTTCCAATGTTTCCCTTAAACCTAACGTGGCTTCAGCCCTAAATGTCAAAAAATCAGTGGTTTGGCTGAGTGACATTTGACTCCCAATGTGTTCCTTTCTGTTTGTGCATTATTTCTGTTCCTGAGCTATAAATGAATGTTCCACTCACACACAGAAAACACGTCAAGTAATCCCAGACCTGCTCTGGACACTCAGTGATCCTCCTTTTCTTCACATGGACTATTAATAGTTACTAATAACTGAAGGTTCTAAATCACATCTGTCCATCCCTGAGCCTCAGGGTTTTCAGCAGCTGAAATGTTAAATTTTGAAGGTTTCATTTGAAACATTTCCCAGTTAGAATAGCCTAGAATTTCATATATAATGATCCCAGAATGGTTTGGGTTGGAAGGGACCTTAAAGCTCATCAGCATAAAGGTTGTTGTGGGGAATGTGGTGTTTGGTGAGGTCAGTATTCCATGGAGGGACAGGACACAGGGAATGGCTTCCCACTGCCAGAGGGCAGGGATAGATGGGATATTGGGAAGGAATTTCTGGCTGGGAGGGTGGGGAGGTTGCCCAGAGAAGCTGTGGCTGCCCCTGGATCCCTGGAAGTGTCCAAGGCCAGGTTGGACAGGGCTTGGAGCAACCTGGGCTGGTGGGAGGTGTCCTGTCCATGGCAGGGGTGGGACTGGATGGGCTTTAAGTTCCCTTCCAACCCAAACCATTCTGGGATTCTTTTTTTTGCATCATAAGGTGTCAAACATCATCTTGACTCTGATCATCTCCTGGATTATCAGGAGAGCTTTGTTTCACTGCCTCCCTCACTGAAAAATACCCTAAAATAAGTGTGGGAAAAAGGGGAAATCCTACAGTAACAGGAGGATTAGGAGAGTGCAAGAATCAGGAGAGGACGAGCGAGGAAGGGTGGTGGGACAGCGGCGTCTGAGCTGTCCCTGCACAGCCTGGGGAGGGGGTGGGTGGCCACACTCTCTGGAAAAGCCAATTAGAGAGAACTCCAAGAGCTGATGTGGGGGAGGGAAGGCAAAACACGGTGGCAGCATGAGGGAACTTGACTTCTGGAAGTGCTCTGGAAGGGCTCTTTCCAGCAGGATGAAAGCGCGGTGGCGGTTCCGGAAATCGCCGCAGCGATTCCTCTCTAACTGCAGGGTGGGGACGGGATTGGAAACCTGAAACCTTTATTTTTTTGGCTGGGCCAGAGAGAGAAGACTCGTGGGGAGGTGGGAGTTTGAACATCTCAGTTGTGGCAGTGGATGCAGTGACGCTGTGTGTTTGACCCAGAGGGGCTGAGCGTGGTTGGCGGTGCTTCCGGAGACACCTGGATTCCAGAAAATAAGTTATCCAGAGGAAAATCCAGCCCTCCACGAGAACATTGGCACTGCACAGGTATCAGGACTATTTTCCATCTGTCATCAGAGCATCCAAAACAGTCATTATGCCTGAGCTTCCCTGCAACTGCTGTGGAATTTGCTGTCCTAAGGCGAGGAATTTCAGAGCTCCCTGACCTGACTTCCAGCCCTGGCTGCCATTAAATCCTGTAAATCTCTCAGGTATGAAAATCCAGCACGGGGAGGTGATTTTGGAGATAGCAAAAGTGACTGAATTGCAGTGGGTTTGTTTTTTTTTTTTATTTGTTGTTTTATTTTTGACAAAAAAAGATGGAGAGTAAACCTTTGGAGTAAACCTTTGGAGAAGGATCTTAGGGGTATAGATAAAAGAATGATCTGATGGATAAAAGTGATTGATGGACTCAAAAACTAATATACTGATTTAATTTTTCCAGGCGTTTTATAATTGAGATGAAAAGGTTCTGATGTATTTAGATTAATTGAAAAAGTCCCTGATCAGAGACAGAAAATAAAGGTACAAATGTCTCTGCAGGTTGAGGTGCTCTTATGCCTCTGCTTCCCTCTCCCTGGATTTTGGGGGGGGCAAAACCTGTTTGGCCTTAAGGTCCATGAAGAACTTGCTCCCTTTCATCTTCCAGAAGGCATTTAGGTGCTGCTTTAAATCATGGAATCACAAGGTTTGGGTTGGAAGGGACCTTAAGGATCACCTTATTTGAACCCCCACTTGCCATGGGCAGGGACAACTTCCACTATCCCAGGTTGCTCCAAGCTCCGTCCAACCTGGCCTTGGACACTGCCAGAGATGGGATATCCACAGCTCCTCTGGGCAGCCTGTTGACATAATAATTATTAACTATTTATTTAATGTTAATTTAGGGTTAATCTTCACCTGTGTGCTCAGCTCTGAGTCTGTTGGAAGCACATCTCCAACGCTTCCCCCACAACATCTTCCTTTCCAACAGCTCGGAGCAGCTTCTTTTTACTGCGTCCCAAACTGCCTCCGGTGGTTTTGAGACCTGTTATTAATCTTTCCTTGGAGAAGCAGCTTCCCTTAATAGCTGAAATGGAGCCTAAATACCATCCAGGGTATCTCCTGCTCATCTGACCTGTCTGTGCTGTCTTGTTGCCTCATCCCAGACCGTCCCACCACCACCCCACGTGCTGGTGTCGGGCTGATAAAGGCTCCAGAACTGGCAAAGAGACACAAAGTCTTCATTTTGTACCTCATTTTCATGTGCTGATGGATTATTTCTATTTTTTGTCATTTTTTTTCCCTTGTGATGAACCTTTGAAACCCATCAGAAACGTTTTAGGGTGTGACTTTTGTGCTCTGTGGGTTCTGTTTCCCCTACATCACAGGCCACGTATGGCAACAAGAATCGTGGCACACGTGGGTTTTATTCTGCTTTTTTTTTTCCTGGCCAAAAGCTGGAGGCAAAACATCCATCAAGGAGGGAAGAATTTATGTGGGGCCTTAGGCTAAAAACTCTCAGGTTTCCTTCTCACTTGCAAAGTGAAGCAAAAAGATCCATCTGACGAAAAAAAACCCACCAACACCCAAACTTCAGAAAATAAACTGTGGGTGGGTGTTGTGCAGGAAAATTGCTTTGTAGGCAAAAAAAAATTCCATTTTTGGTTTATTCTCGTGACTTGCTTTGGTTTTTAACAGGAAGTACCTCCACAGGTAAAATAATACATGAAACCAGAATGATTTTTGTATCCCATTTGTTTCTGCAAACTGCAAGTTTTAGTTTAGATTTATTTTTCGTGCCACTGGCTTTTATGAGATTTTGTTAGTTATTTATTTGTCCCTTTAGCCAGATTATACAACATACCTGTACCAGAGGTAATTTTATATACAATAATTTAATATATACAATAATTTAATATATACCATAATTTAATATATACAATTTTGTATAGCCTTGTCTGACACTGATGCCCTCCAGAATGAGCTGTTTAAACCCCTGATATTTCCTAGGATTAACCAGTAATTAGTCCTCTGAAAAACCTTTGCTCATCCCAAAGATTTGGGGGAAAAAAATACAGAAATCAGTGTTTTTTGAATGTTTGAGTAATTCTAATT